AAAAAAAAAAAAGAAATAAACTTCACTGCAATTATAAAATTACTTCAATATTTGTAGCTTGAACTTTTTTTTTTTTTTAAAGATTTTATTTATTCATTTGAGAGAGAGACAAAGACAGAGAGCAGAAGCAGAGGGAGAGGGAGAAGCAGACTCTCCACTGAGCCGGAAGCCCGACATGGGGCTCAATCCCAGGACCCTGAGATCATGACCTGAGCCAAAGGCAGACGCTTAACTGACTAAGCCACCCAAGTGCCCCGTAGCTTGAACTTTAAAACTTAAGACCTGGGTTTTTCTATCTGTAATTCTAAAGAGCTGAATATTTTATTGAAATTCCTTCAAAAATGTCATTAAAGTTCTCATATTAGTGTCTGCTGATGCTACCAAAGGGCTGGGGAAAACTCCAGCATTTGCTGCCCAACACAGGAGTCCACATGCAACCAGTTAAATGAAAAGTTAAATGAATTAGAAAGAAATGGGATTAAAAGTTCAGTTCCCCAGTCACACTAGCCACATTTCCAGTACTCACGATCACACGTGCTAGTGACTCCCGCACTGGACAGTGGAGGTAGAGAACATTCCCATCATCACAGAAAGTCCTTTTGGGCAGTACTACTCTATACTCACCTGCATCGTATCTGTTGTGATGACTGTTCTTACAGAGCACAAAATGAGAAGAACACTAGTAATTTTTTTCCCCTAAAACTTAATAAAACCTATGGGTGTTTATAAAAAATGTACTATTGGAGGCTGCTGCACTTATTTGACTTTGAAAGAGTCCTGTCGTTTTAGAATGAGTTCCCTTTTTTTTTTGTTGTTAAATTTTGTCCCTACAGTGCCCTTCACTCAAAGCCATCTTACAACACAAGCCTGTGCCCTGGGTTCACAATGATGCTTGGTACAGATCCTTTCTGACTTGATTTATACTGAACTATTTTTCCTCGCTTGAGCAGTTACTTGATTCAGGTTATTTTAATTGTTACTTTTATAATATCCTTCCCAGCCTACAAAGCAAGGTAAAAACAAGAGAACCCTTCTGGAAAGGGCTGAACTTTATTGCAAATCTGCTGACCTCACTGGTTTTCTCTAATTCTAACTTGAAACAATTCACAAACTCCATTTCAAGCTGGTAAAGCATGAAATTATTCTCCTAATACACAACAAAATCTGGTAGCTTTATAACATCAGTACACAGTGAAGTAAAAAAGTGAAGGCCCAGATACTCAGTCAAGATAAGGTTGTATAACTACATCTTTCTTCATTTGGGAGACTGATACTGATATATCATAAAAAGGCCAACTGCTGCAGAACCCCACAAAGAATACAGTCACTATTCAATCCTACCCAGGAACACTTAAAAAAAAAAAAAAAAAAAGAATACAATCACTAAATACCTCCATTGGGTCACACTAGTCCATACTCATGCAAAAGTGATTGCAAATATAACTTATATATACCAAGTCTCACCAATTTCTCCTTCTTGTCCAGGCTTAGGAATGCTAATAGATGTTTTGGTTTCCACTTCTAGTTTCTTCCTAGTGTCCCCTCTTTTGCCAACTATATGCCTATAATATAAAGAAAAATTAATTAATGGAAGGACATTAAGTCAAATGTACAATAAAGAATTCCATCATGTTTAAATCATATGTGGCCACAGATACTCCCTTACAGAAAAGTGCTTCAGTAAGGCTTAATATTTGTAGAGAAATTACAAGTTGTATAGCTTTACAGAATGTGCTGCATTGCACTCATGGGCAAAATGACGCCCTACAGTCAATTTAATGAATAAACAGAAACAGAAACCATGCCATGCCCAACACCTGTTTGCTCTTCAATATTAGATTCAAAACATGGGTCTGCAGTTCATTGAAAAGAAAGCTGGCATTGTCTCAAAAGGCACTTCTAGCAACCAGTGGGTCTACAGTTTGGGGAAAACGTTGTCCTTTAGAGAGCAAATTAACTATATTAGGAGTTCATTGTAAAAGAATTATCCTTGATTAATAAAATAAGGGTAAAAAGCTTAGCAAAGAGACGAATCCATCATTTAGGAGAGATTATCCAGAATAGCTTCAAAAGCAAAAAGAGAAAACAGGTAACCCTCAAGCTGAATTCAGCAATACATGTTTTGTTCAGGAGATTTCACCTAAAAATTGGGAAATTTCACCTAAAAATACAGATTTCCAGGTTCTTTGGAAAAATTAGAAGATCTGACAACCCATGGCAATAATGGGCTGGAGCTTACTCTCGTCCCTAAAAATGGAACATGAGCTTATCACAATCCCTATCACTCCCTACTCCGTTTCATCTACTCTGCTTCAACCATCTAGTGACTCCTTTACATTAATTGTCTGGGCCTCCTGGAATAAATAATTCTGACAATCCAAGGTTATCTTCTGGAACCCACAGTAATAACATGTGTTAAAGTAAATGAGACTACTGGATCCCAAGGGAAAAGTTTCAGAGTGTAGAAAGCACTAAAGACTCAAAGACACGATTATAAAGAGAAAAAAATTCCCCATCACCAACAGTATTTTGGCTTCTATGATTTCAATTACAGTGCCCAAGAATATGGGTGACTAGGTCTAAAACTGTGCATTTGTTTCTACCTGGAATAACCAGCCCAATTATTTCCATTAAGATCTACTGTAGTAAGCCAGGTTAAAAAAAAAAAAACAAAAAAAACAGAAAACAGAAAACAAGATGTTTAGAAAAGGACTGAAACGCCACAATTTCCCTGTAGTTTTTCTCTGTGTTGCACTCTGTGTTGGCACCCACTTTGTCAGGCTTTTGTCTTTCCAGCCCTTATCAATAAGGGCTACTTTCACCCAGGCTACTGTTGGTTAGCATGTGGCTAATAGAGAAGCCTCTTACAAAAAGCAGCTGGCTTGGAGTGCCCCGCTGGCTCAGTCCGTAGAGCATGCAACTCTTGATCTGGGGGTTGTGAACTCAAGCCCCACGTTGGAGTGTAGAGATTACTTAAAAATAAGATGTTTACAAACACACACAAACAAAAGTAGCTGGCTCAATGTGTTATTAACAGTCTAGGCATTTTTTTTTTTAAAGATTTTATTTATTTGAGAGAGAGAATGAGAGAGAGAGAGAGAG